TAATACATCCATCCATCCATCCATCCATCCATCCATACATCCATACATACATACATACATACATACATACATACATACATATATACATACTGGGTCATTTGAGTTTTAAATGCTTACATTTTTTGCATGGAATGCTAAAACGAATTTACATTTCGCATCTTACACCCAAACAGCACACTAAAATCACGTATAGTTACTATAATCATATTCACGCCGCTCGTGATATCATGGTTAGGTCAGGATTGCTTCTGGACCTACATTTTGGCTCCAAGAGTTATAACGTTCATATAGAGTGATCCTGAGCGGCCGACATCTCGATCGAAGAGCAGCTCCTTTCTGGGTAAGTTTATTTCTAAAGATTTTATTCTTATCGATAATACAATCAAAAATATTTTCCGCATCTCTTAAAATTTGTCATGGCATTGGATAAAAGCTCAAGAGGTAATTTACACAGATAATTTTTGCGATTACATAACCTCAAAATGGAATAATATTTAAAGAAATTGCGATACAAGTAGTAAATATTACAGTAGGCGTTTTTTGGAAAAAATTTTACGAACATTTAAGAACGCGGTCATTTACCCATGTGATTGTAGCATGTCTCGGGAAAAGAATATGTGCTCTGATTTTATTTTTATTTGAAATTATTGGCTATTTCACTTCTCACTTTTTTTTCAATGTTTTATCAAAAATAATTTTGTATTTATTAGTGAGAAACGTGATATGCAATACTGAAATTTAGAAAAGCTGAACATATATTAACGTTCGCTTTCTTTCATCAGATAATAATATTGTAAAACCAATTTTCAAAAAGTGTTTCCTTTGCACACGTTTGATAGAATATTTCAGTGTTAATTGAAAATTTTATTTATGTGGATTCTGTTATTGAAACAATTCAGTGAATTGTTTGGGAATGCCTTCAACTATTGTCATCATTATTTAAATATGATTATCTTTAATATTACCTGTGCGATTATTATTAAATTTAAATAACAAGGATTATTCGCATTTCCAAATAAAGACTGACAAAGAAAGAGAATGAAGACATTCAGAGAGTATACCCATAATTTAAGTGCCAAGCCCTTGCATGACTCAGATCCTAAAGATATTGACGACACTTCCTGCGGGATTGGTCCCTTCCGTCCTAGGATTCTTCAGTACTTTGCCCGAATCGGAGTTTTCGTTGGGATATATGGTGCATACGGGCTTCTGACGTCCACTCTTTCAGTCTACATTAACTCACAGGTACAGGAATATATTGCAATAGCTACGTACAACACAACACTGTTGATAAAAGATCACTATATGTACACAATAATAACATATTCACTCCTAATATAAACAAATAATGTGTTGGCTTTAGGAGTTAAAGGTGACAGTATCATAAAAAAATAACTAAATGAATGTAGTCATAAAAATATATTTTCTATCATCTAACGTGCTTCCAGTCCTTTGCCATTTTAAAGGGGAAATAATTAGCTAGAGTTTTTTAAGCGTTAAAATTTAAATATACATGACTTTTGTAGTACAAACAGCAGTATACCACAACCATGTATATGTTATCCATATTATAGCATCGCAATGAGTACTTACTTAAATTCTAAGCATATTGAATGAAAACTTTGGCATTAGATTTAGAAACAATTTAATCCAACTTTACCCGTTTAAAGCTGGTTAGGCTGACTGAAATAATGTAAAGCAGTCTCTGGATGAGTGTCACATTATCTAGTAGGTAGGTAGGTAAGTGGGTTGGTAGGTAAGTAGGTAGGCAGGCAGGTATGTAGGTAGGTAGTTGGGTGGGTGTAGTTGTGTCCTTGCACAAGTTATTTAATAATAGTTGTAAACACTATTCAGGGAGTAATGCAAGGTTTTGTAAAACAAAAAAAAAAAACTGACGACCAAAAACTTAGCGATTAAAGGGTCAGGAAAAGACTCAGTAAGGTTCTACTTTATAATATGAATTTTTTGCAACAAAATGCCACATTTGACGCATACAACCGCAAATAAAATGTAGACCGAGACGTCTAAAAATCTTGGTCTACACGGTTTGCAGTTGTGTAAGCACTGTAGCATGAGCATGTATAGTAAGCCGTATTACCTCCTTTTATCCCCTCTAGGCGTCGATGCTGTATAGTAAGCCGTATTACCTCCTTTTATCCCCTCTAGGCGTCCATGTTGTATAGTAAGGCGTATTACCTCCTTTTATCCCCTCTAGGCGTCCATGCTGTATAGTAAGCCGTATTACCTCCTTTTATCCCATCTAGGCGTCCATGCTGTATAGTAAGCCGTATTACCTCCTTTTATCCCCTCTAGGCGTCCATGCTGTATAGTAAGGCGTATTACCTCCTTTTATCCTCTCTAGGCGTCGATGTTGTATAGTAAGCCGTATTACCTCCTTTTATCCTCTCTAGGCGTCCATGCTGGAGAAGCAGTTTGGGTTCATCATTTATGATACAGGAATTCTGATGAGCTGCAATGACACTGGATATCTTTGCACGGTCATTTTCATGGGATACATTGCCATAAACGTTTTCCTTTGCCTATTAGCTACTTTCTCTTTAGGGCTTCTTTCAAAGATAGCTCTCCAAATGAATGACATAACGTTGGTTTAAGAAGAATTTGTAAATTTCCAGGAAGTTTAATAATTCCAATTTTATATTCAATGCGAAATTTTGAGTGTAACTTTATTAGACAATTTGTATTTTGCTCAATCCAAGATTGACGCTTATTACTTTATCGACAAAATTACTCTGAAAGAAACACTTCTGAAGTTATATACAATTTTAACTAGAATTGTATAGCTATCAATTCAGTCAAAAATGCTCGTATTTATGATCTGATAATTGACGTTATTTAAATGATGTGTATGCACATGAAACTTAAATCTCTCTCTCTCTCTCTCTCTCTCTCTCTCTCTCTCTCTCTCTCTCTCTCTCTCTCTCTCTCTCTCTCTCTCTCTCTCTCTCTCTCTGATCGTTAGTTAAATATTTTTCTAAGGTCAATATTCCTCGAGACCTCGGAGTAAGTACGCTTTTGTTCGGAATTTGTGGAATATTGTGTGCTCTTCCATACTTCATGCAAGATCCATCTTCGTATAATCTGGATTTGGCTCAACGGGACCTGAATGGAACAAAGGAGAAATTAATGGGACATGATATACAGCTTTGCATTCTGGTCAAAATGGTTCGGCATTGCATATTCATGACACAAATGGTTGTTTTGCAACTGCACGTGCTACCAAGATGGATCAACTGTCTATCAAACGGATGGCCTTTGTTCTCATTGCAATTGGTATGATATTTCAAGGAATTAACAAGTCAAGCAGGTATCCGTTTACAACACTCTACGTAGACGACAACGTTAACAGGAGAAAAACTGGATTTTACATGGGTAAATATATATAAATAGTTGTAATATATGCATATTTCGCGTTTTCAAAATTTGGACCGATGTTAGAAAATAAGAATAAAGATTTAAAATATATGGGGAGATCTGAAGGTGAACTCCAGAGATTTTGTTGATACCTAATAAATCTTGTCGATTCTTATTCTCCCCCTTACGTATAAGATCAAAAAGTCATGCCTTTTTCGCCATTAGTATTGCTTTAGTAGTGGAATGCCTTGTTAAAACACCTCTCTCCTAGCCAACTCTTCAGAATGTTTACCGTAATATTATCTTACCTCGCTCCTCCTCTTAGTTTCTTGCTTTTAGGACCATACGAATCTCAGATCCGCTCATGTACACCAGGTACCACAGGACTAATCTCGTTTTAACTTAACTTGACAATCCGATTCTTGATGCTTGAAGACTTTTCAAAACAATATGCAAATGAATAACATTGCATTTACCATGTATCCGACAAATGCATCGGGTATTTGAAAACAAGCAGACGCCGTTCTAAAATAGCTTTTAATTATGAAAATAAACCAACCAGAAAATTATCAACCTGTCTGAATACTTAAATCTGATGATTCGACACGTGACATAGAAATGTATTTCTAGGTTTTAGTATGGGAATTTACTCTCCTTGAAAAGCTTCAACTTTTGTCAGGTGTTGATGTACAGGCTCAGTAAACAAGTCTCGTGTTACTGTGTCTAATTACAGGTAGTGTTTCGCCTACTCTGTCTCCACATTTTCAGCTGGACTCTGTAAGATTCCATCTTTTGAGGGTGGGGTGGGGTAGGTTGGGTGAAAAATGTTCGTCAAACCCTCTTGAGAGACATTAATTAATAACACCATCACCATTCTTTATATTTACGAGGCACCTTGAGTGTATCCTAAAAATGGAAAAGGATAACTACATATCATTTTGCTCAGTGCTCCAATAATTAAGGCGAACACTTGCCATGAAATCTAACTTATAATTCTTTCAGGAAGTAGTCCTATCAAATGTAGCTGGTTTGATATAGCATCCTTCAGTCTGATTTAGTAAATTATCTGTGGTAGACACTTGCGCTTGCAAAAATGGCTCATATTGTAATCCTGTATATTTTATATTGTAACACGTGCCTTATTTGGACTAAAAAGTGGTAGGGTTGAAAGCACGTAGAACAGAATATTAATTTTATTTTATCGCACTTGTATCGCTACCTTTGCTTTTACTATCCTGCACAATATTAACATGTTGTATATTAATATTGTCTGGCGTGAAAATGATATGGGTCAGAGGATGCGCTCCAGCCGCTTTCAATCCCTGCGTCTTTGCATCAGCACACAGTGCCTCACCTGACAAACGATTTTCACTGCACCTCTGTGTGTTTTTGTGTGTGTGATTTAGATTTTAACGTAACTTTAATATTTTTCTGTGATATCGCTACAGTGTCTGCAGTGTGACAGTTCATAGTGATGTCTAGCACTGGGGAATCATGCTCAGACATGTAGCATGTGCCCCGCCCAGTTACATTATCCTGACACCAGGGCGACCAGTCCTAACACTAACTTATAAATGCTGAACGTCAAGCGAGGCAGCTTTTAGTACCATTTTTAAAAGTCTTTGGTATGACTCAGTTGTGGTTCGAAAACGCGACCTTTAGCATCCGAGGCGGACGCTCTAACCACTAAGCCACTGAAGCGTCACCACTTTTTTGTACCTGCGTCGCAATCTTTCATGTACTATTTGCTAATGAGCTAATATTGTCATGAACAGGGCTGCTGACTCTAACTTGTCAACAACGAGCTTACTCCTGCTGTATTCGAGCGATGCTACTAACCCTCACTCAATATAAAGGGTATCATCACTAACGACAGACTTTGAATATCGCACACGCTTCTTAGGTGAATTTTGGTTTACAGACTTAAAAGTTTCATTAAAAACCACAAGGTCAATTAATGCAACTAAGCCATCTAAATTCAACATGTGCACTGCATCCGCTTCTGGAATCAATTGTTGTTTCTATACACTATACTTAGAAACTATTCTGCAACAGGTTGAATCTGAGTTGGGATCGGATGTATCAAAATCAGTAAAATTTCTCTTGAAGAAGATTTTTGCTTACAATGTAATTTAGCGATGAATGAATTTGACACCATACTCGTGCACATAGAAAAGTTCAGTAATGGATTTAGCAGCAAGGAAGAGATCAATGACTGTCACAAGAAAATTCTATCGTTCATAAATGGATCTTCGCTGAACATATAATTTCAACGAGTAATCAAACGAGAATCAACGGACGGATCTTATAAACAAGTATGATTGATATATAGATTTATCACTATGGATGAATAATATATAGAATTTATAAACACATATCATTGATAGATAGATATACCACCAGGGATTCCGATGTTACACACAAATATAAGCAATCCATGGTTCAACAAACAATTAAATGTGTGCATAATTGATTTTCAATCGTTTGACGATTTTGATTTAATCTTTCAGCCATATGGTGACATTGAATAATATTGATTCAAAAATGAAAATATATTCATCTAGTGACGTTTATTTGACGAGCACGATATATTTCCGGTTTAACAACTCCCGTCAAATGGTCAAGGAGCAACCATACAAAGAAACTGATAATACTATCGTGAAAGAGAGGTTTATATATCGTGATTTTGTACGCTGAATGAATCTACCAACAATGTAAACAATTTAAACATAAAAGAACAATGTTTCATCAAGGATATGGAAATACAGGATATACACAACTGTGACAAATGTATGATTCTTACCAAAGGTGATCAAAGTATAGAATTTGTATAAATATATGAATGATGTTTCATCCACTAGTAGTAGATGTACATATGCATTTAAGTTTACCGTATGGCCCGCTCCTTGAGTCTACCAAAGGATCCAATGAGATCACCCAGTCCTACGAGCCAAACTAACAGCAGCGTTATACGAAACTCAGCAGATGCAGAGTTTCAAGACTCCCCATCCAGAATCAGAATAGTAAACAAGAAACGGTTTATTGCGAATGCAGTGAGATAACATACGCATGCGCACACATGATTTTGTTTCTTTGCATATTACATAACTACATCAGAACTACATCTCGAGGTTATTGGTGTGTATATATTCTTCAAAACACCATCAATACACCGTTTGGCTTGGCAAAGTCGGCTGTAAGATATTTTGTCTTACAGGCTACTTGCTGTCCGTAAAGTGGATGTATCCTTGGCAAAACTTGTTGCGTTGTGATAATTCAGTCCGACTTTAATCTATAAGTACCCTGGTTATGTTGTAAATATGACCGGAAAGCTTTTGATGACCTTTTCTCACTGCAAGCACGTTGCTCTTAAGTAGTGAGTGGTAACGATATAGCGACAATGAGACTTCTATGTTAAAATAGTAAGCTTGTTCTAAGACAAGGGGAATTCCGATGGGGAATTTTAACATGGGTGGGACTATAGAGCGACAATGAGAATCAATCATGGGTGACGTGGTAGTGGACATTGGTAACGACGTTGCATGTGGCTGACCTCAATTGGGAGGAATTGTATGGCAAGCGGCCGACCTGAATAAGTACTACTCTAGGGACAAATATATCCATATACATATGGCTAGGGTTAGAAACATAGACAGAAACATAGACATGTGACACCAATATAGCTTTATGAATATAAATCTATCACACCATAAATCGACTAAACCTTTTAGGTAAGAGACAATAGATAGCTTTTCAATGGAATCGAGTGGCACTGAAACAGCCTTTGGTGTTTTATTCTTCTCTTCCTCAAGCTTTGTCTGACCTCTGGACTGTAGATTTAGATTCGATTCAGACAATCTTGTCTCTCTACATAGAACCTTCATTTTCAAAAAAGGATTGCATCAGTCCTCTTGGTGACAGCCCATAATGATTTGACATACCTTTGATAGTCCGGGTTGATCAGAATCAACAATAAAAGGTTAGACGATTCTACATTCGTCCACATCTTGTGACGACAACTGGACAACAGGTGAAGGGAATTAAGTGAATCGCAATTATTTATAGTGGAAGTTCGGATCGAAACGGATCGAGTTTTTCTACCAATCCTAACACGCGTTACAAAATTCAGTCACAGTGCGAAGTCTGTCTTCCAATCCAAAGAGAGCTACCTGTAACGTCACATTCCGCAATAAATCAATGCGGCAGAGTTGGAACTTGACACAAACTATGAAGACTATAAGTTTGGGTGTAGACGAGGAACGATGATATAACAACGGCTACCAAAGCAAACAAAGTCCTACTTCAAGAATAAAACTATTTGAATTGGGATTTAGTGGATTTTCACAAGAATTTGCTCCGGTACCAGTACCTGTTCCGCCTTCTCCTTCTTACCGTACGTCGTAGATTTTAAACAAAGGCAGAAATAAAAATTGGAGAATTGTTTGCAACAGCAGAAATAAGCAGAACAAGCCTTTCTGATTCAATGGCAACTGTGACAAGACAAAGAAGAAGCTGAGAAGAAATAAGGTCTAGAAGGGAAGGAAAACAGTGAAAGTAAAACGGTTACGGTACTCTTAGAGATTTTGTCAGATTTAAAGAATCTGAAACGCATGTATCAGACATCCTTAATTGGATGACTCAAGAGAAAAAGACCTTTACGAACCAAATAGCCCAATCCCGTTTACACATTTACAACTCCTGAGATACCAACACTAGTGATCTCCATCAAATCATCGACAGTAGTTGGTCCTGAACATTTGGTGGTCATGATTAATTCCAGGTTTATTAATTTAGCAAGGACCTGTAAAAAGCCATAAAAAATGTAAACCTCGAGTATCATAAAGTGGCACGTCGCCTTCTGATGACATTTAAGGATGACAAAATGCTGTCCGGCAGTTTTAATCGTAGTCTGTTTGAACTTTTCGATGGAGACACAAGTTGGCTCCCAATTTCAACCCGATTAACAGCATGCGGAATTTTACAAGTATTTTAGGTCCCCTGTAGAACTGAAGGAAAGATTTAATTCGATTTTGTGTACTTTTGATGTTGTGTAGTACAACGTGGTGGGATACTATTGCACCGTTACTGAGAGTCATTACTTTCAAAATGGATTCCTCTGCAACAAATGACAATACAAGTAGAAGCACATATCATGTTTATCGTGAGTTTTGTATATACTCATTATTTACCCGTTAATAAGTCGTATTTTGACACTCTCACCATTTACATTAAAGGAGATCAGGGACCTGATTGTCTTTCTCCAAATGGAAAGTCACAGTGAAACTCCATTTTCGAGAACAATTCTCTAATTACTTGTCGGTCATGTATCCTGTTTACCGAGGAGTAACTCGACAGCGTTGACGTGGTTCAAAAGATATGTTGTAATCTGACTTTCGTTCTGTGCCTCCCCACCAGTTTTGAAACCGATGGTGGCACGAAGATTGCATAGCTTGACAGATGCCGCTTTGACGGAAGGCAAAGAATTTATCCAAGATGTGATCAAAACAAACAAATCCCGAAAGAAGCCTTCTTGAGTTAGTAGCCACCGTCAACAATTTCATGCATTCCTTGTCAGATAGATGGATTTGTACTTGAATAATAAACTGACAAGCAGTAGCATGGATACCAACCCTTATCGAGCAAACCTAGAAATTTATTGACCTATGTAAAAGAAGCCAAAAAGACTCATCCGGATGCCTGCGTGGTATGGAAACGTGACGCGCCGGGCAATTACCAAAGCCTAAATGCCCACTGTGTGAGGTTTAACGACCGTCAAAGCAAAATTGCACAATGCCTAAGTTTGGAACTAATAGATTGTTAGCATTTGAAAATGGTGTTGCAAGAGAATCATTTCCTAAACGAAGTGGATGTCCGTCTTAGATTGAATTGAAGCATTGCCGCTTTCCTTCTTGTGACTTCAGTTGATTCCGCTTATAAAATCAATCGTCATCCAACAAGGCCGACTCTACTCACGTCTCCTTGAAGTGGTACCTAAAGTGGCAAATAACACAAGTCAAACTTTGAGCAGAATGACCGCCAAGTATCTGATACAACGCATGGAAGAAAAAACCTTCACGAGTTCCGCTTGACAGCGATCTATGATTGAAGATCTGTTCGAATGACATTTACACAAGCGTTGGTATTATCAAAAATTAAGCATTCAACGGAGTTTAGAAGGAAAGTCCTTTCCAGTTTCATCTCTTCGACGTGTCTAAGATCCAAGGCATGACCTTGTGTTTCAGATCTTTCGAACCTAAATGTGAACACAAGAATTATTCAAGGTCGTACTTTTCCCTGCACGAAGCCACCGACAGTTAGGAACCAACACCACTCACGGCGTTTCGTACGACGTTTAAGCAGGATGTTATGTTTTCTGGGCTTCACTCAAGACCAAGGCAGCGATGAGAGACCCTATAAAATCAGGCCAACTTTTAGTAGGACTTCTGTTTTAAGGATCACTGAAAGAGACATTGAAACGTAAACCTGTATGCCGAATTAAACAATACGATATAAATAAACAGTTTGAGAGAAGTTATTCAAGACTCTTAGAAGCTTTCAAAGACTCTTATCCATCTTTGATGATGGTGAGACTATTTGAAAATGGGATGGAATGTTACCTTAGAAGCAGAATTATCCACCAGAAAGGATAAAGACAAAGAGTACCTGGTATTGTTCAGATGGCCAGAACAATGACAATATTTAGT